TGATCCAATCAAGATAAAAAAGGGGCCAAAACAAATTGGGAATATTGGAAACCTTGACAAGGACCATAAGAGAATGCCGGGAACAACAGCCACTCCCATTAACTAGGTGAACAAAAAGAGTCTAGCCTAACCAGGGATAGGGCTCGTCAGGAATCCGTCCCGTTGTGTCTTTCCAAGGAGGCACGGTGGGGTAATGGATACCGAATTCGAATTCCAGTCGAATTCATTACATTAATTTTCGTGCTAATACCCTTGGGGAAACGTATAAATCCTTTTCTTCTCCCTTTCCAGCTATGGGTAAATAGCAGGATAGGCCGGGTTCTATAGCCTTGGATGGCAATTGGGCTACCGCAGAAAGAAATGGCAACCGACTTCAGGAAAAAAAAATCTGTCTCGTCAGTCATGTATCGAAAGATACATGATCACCTAAGCGTGTATCACGCGTGGCACATAACTGACTGACTGTGTCTTTCACCTCCCCGGGAGGGCAGACTGGACTCTCCAGCTGTGGTTGGGCACCGGTAGAGAAGACAACTCAGAATTCAAAATTGTATGTGGACCGAGCAGGACGCATAATTGAACTGTAACTAAGTTCCGATTAGCATAATTGCAGTATAAACGGTTGTGTGGATGTTAAAGAAGCACAAATGAACTTGGGCAGATAGGAAAAAGAAGAGCCCTACTGAAGATGAGAAATCATATTGATTTTCAATGTGTTTTCAAGTCGAAGTGACTCTAATGATGATCTGCGCATGCGTACTCGTGGTCTGCACAGAAGTGGTTATTTACTAAATGTAAGCTACAAATATGGGGCACCCAGTGGGATCAAACTCACTCCTCAATGATAGTGAACCGCGAGACCGCATTGCTAACCATTGAACCCCGATTCTTTACATTAGCAATTTACTCAGTTATCCACTAAAAGTGGTCAGGAGTACGAGGCACTCATTAGTTTCTCAATCAGTTAATTTTATCTACAAACGGACTAATGTCCTCGTTTTTCTTGTTAAGAGCATAACGTCTCGACTGCATCATGTAAATATAAGAAAGACGATATAAAAATCTATATACTAAATAAATAGTAGGTAAGCGAATGGCAAAACGGAAAAAAAACTTTCTTTGTGACGCGTTTCATTCTGAGAAAGAACGTCTTCAAACTCGTAACTGTTTTCTTGTTGAAATCAGACTTTTATATAAAAAAGTTGAGATAAAATAGGGAAGAAAATACAGCAAATGCTGGATACAGTTTATTGCGAATCGTTAAAGATACAGAAAAGTTCAGTTTCAGACTTGAATTTTGACGTCCAATATATCTAGATCAGTGATTCACAACCGCCGTGCCACGGCACACGACTGTGCTTCACGATCCTCTGAAGTATACCGCGAAATATTGTCACGGCACATATATATATATTTATGTGTGGAAGTAGTAATGGTACAACGTTAGTATTTGAATAAATTAATAAGTATTAATTTTTTTTAAATAATTATTTTCATTATGTTCCTTCTAATATTGAACTTCAGTTTTGTTAAGAAGAATTAAGATCGAGCGCTCAAAATAAAACATTCGATGGTACCCATTGATACATTTTAGATTTCAATACAAAAGGAATATCCCATATTAGCTAAAAAGGCTTTATCAGTTTTATTGCCGTTTTCTATTTCTTATTGATGTGAATTTGTTTTCTCAGGCCTAAATAACATCAAAAATAAGAAGCGAGAAAGACTACGCTCAACTGAAGAGGAAATGACGGTCGTCTGCTTATCGCACATTCGATCAAACATTGAAGAAATTGTGGAAAAAAACGCCAGGCACATGTTTCACATTAAATAAGCTGCACAAATAGCTGAATAGAAACGTTGAAATAAACTAAGTTCATATTTGTACGTGTATTTTTTTTTTTAAATCAATGGTTTTATTTCATAACATTTATTCCCTTTAAAAATTTTGCTAAGTGTGGCGTGATTTTTCATTTGCTTCTGTGTGGGCCGTTGCTTAAAAAGGTTGAGAAACATTGATCTAGATGTTTAACTTATCCTCGTTCAGATTTTACAGCTTTTGTTCTTCAGTCAGTCAGTTATGTGTCATGCGTGATATCTTTCGATACATGAATGACGATGCAGAGTTTTTCCCACAGTAGGTTGCTATTTCTTTCTGCGGTAGACCAGTTGCCATCCAAGGCTATACAACCCGGTCTGTCCTACTATTTACCCATAAAAAGAAGAGGATTCATACCTTTTTCCAAGGGTATTAGCACGTAAGTGAATGTAATGGATTCGATTGGAACTCGAACTCGGCTCTCCGAACCGCTCCACAGTCCTTCCTTTATGCGGTCCGAAGCTATAGACCCCGGTTTGTCCTGCTATTTACCCATAGCTGGGGGGAGAAGAAGAGGATGCATACCTTTCCCAAGGGTATTAGCACGTAAGTATATATAACGGATTCGACTGGAACTCGAACTCGGAATTCCGCAATCCGAACCGCTATCCATTACGCCATCGTGCCTCCCTAATTTTATCTTTACTGTTATTGGTTTTGATTATATCAGCAGAAGTTATTTGAGGAAAAGGAAAGATGTGCGATTCTGGACGTGAATTTACTATAGAATCTTGGTTTGTTGTTTTTGTTTAGCGGTATATCAACACCTCTATGAGTCATTTAATACCGAAATGTAAATATTTTGTACGCAATTTTATTTATTTATTTATTGGTGATAAGAATGGTTTTAATGCTACAAGTCTTACTAATTAACACATAGTTGGAGGGAGAAGAGGTGAATTCTTATCTTTCCCAAAGGTATTTTAGCGTAAGTGAAAATAACGAACCCGACTGGAATTGGAACTCGGCTCTCTGATTAACAATTACGTGTCATTATTCATTACACCACCCGCACATCCAATCTTACAGCACCTGGTATTCCCAAGTGGTCATTTATCTAGGTACTGACCAGGTTCGAAGTTGCTTAACTGAGGTCATCGTCCAGGGGACGGTGTTTCAACGTGATACGGCCGTAAGCCAAATTTACCGTAGAGGATTTGGAAACTCGTGCACTTTCAATACATTTTCGTTTTAATATATTACTTTCTCCTTTAATTAAAACAGGATTCTTTCAATTGAAATTAAATAATAGCTTCGACTACTTGCTGTGACGCCTGTGTTAATTAGTATGAAGACTGCCTCCAAATGTCTGGTATTTACTAAACCTCTTCCCAAGGACGCGTTTTACGTGGAGCGACCCACTTTTTACGTGGAGCGATCATATGTTAACGCAATACTAATGGGATATCTCATTGCTAAATAAGGAAGATCGGATATATCACCATCATTTTTTTTTGTTTTCCTGTTTTAATTTTTGTTGGGTACTAGACTAGCTGTATAACCCGACTTCGACCGGGTCTTTCATTACTGGGAATTTTTACCGTTCAGTTGGAGCAGTTTAAATTTAAAGTCAGCCCAACCGAAAAATCAATATTAGTAACAACAATTGGATGCAACTGAAGCACATCCACAAATGGGGGGTTAACAATTTGAATTGGGAGGGGGGTGATGGCCCTGAAAAGGGAACTGTATAATAATAAATAATAATATTGTAATAATTTAAACTACTTATTTTTATTAAAGTTTTTTGAAAGATATATATCCAAGAAGAAATAGTAAAACGTTGCTGCGAGTTATAAAGTACAGGAAGTAGAGGAGAGCCATTGTCGCCAACAATTTGGACTCAAAACCAGCACTGAAGAATTATCTATCAAACAAAAAAAAATTCATCGATATCGGATGATAATTGTGGAAATGCATAAACAACATCCGATCACACACAAACATACATTTTGAAAATAATAGAGATTTATTATGTATAAAAATACATAATTAAGACACAAGGCCGAAAAAAAGGGTTGGGCTTGAAGCTGGTCAACACTATTTTATACCTAGCTAATCTGATTCAATATTTATTATGTACAAGTACATAATTATGGCACAAGGCCGAAAATGGGGAGGGGTTAAGGCTGGTCCACATTAACTATCTTATGCCTAGCTAATCCGATTCACGACCCATTCACTCATTACAATTTCCACATTCACCACAAGAACTCGTCCGTCACCAATCAATCCCCCATACACCATAATACCGCATTCTCTCAAGGGGGACCTACAAAACGCGCCCCATGCCATAAAAATTTAATGTTTTGAGAATTATAGATATAAGATTTTTTTTCAATGATTTCAAAAGGCGAAATACAGTGTAACCCGGATATAAGAGAGTTGTCGGGACCAGAGAAGAAGTCTCTTATATCCGGGTTTCTCTTATATCCGGGTTTGGTCTATTTTGTTTAGGTAAGTATGGAAACACTTTGGGACCAGAGAAAATCTCTCTTATATCCGGGTTACACTGTACAGGAATCCCTCGATTAGTGCAGCTAATCTGTACATCGGTAACTATTAAAAAAAAAAAGTCAATTCTCAATTACTATGGTTAAACTGAAGAATATAATATATCGCACTAACTGAGAGATGCCTGTACTTTACTTTTACGAGGGATAAATTGAATTAAATAAAATACTAGAGTACATATCCAATATATATATATATATATATATATATATATATATATATAATCAATTCAAATGTAAACTTTTTAAATATAGCTGTATTTTTTGTATTTTTTTAACGGAACCTGCAAATAATTTTAAAATAAATACTGATTTTAAAAAAAGTTGGGGGCGGGTAAAATATCTTTGAACAAACCTTTGTACGGTATTTAAGCAAGCAATGGGCGATGAAGTCGGCGTATTTTTAGCCGCCATCTTGATAAACCGGTGTTTGCTTTTTCCGAGTACACGATTTGATTTTAAATCCAGAAAAAAAAGAATAACTATAATAGCAGCTGTTTATTCCGCAAACCTGAAATTAAGCGCTACACGGCCTTGAAATTCCATTATTGAACGTAGCTTCAAAAGAGCCCGAGACGTTGTTTACAAATCTCACTACGTTACCAGACATGGAAACTATCTATAGAAAAACGGAAACCAACATATTAGACCAGTTTCAAAGACAACACTCGAACATTTCTCTGGAGAATCAGTCAGCAGTCCCTAGAAACGCCTACACCTTAGAATCCAACAAACAACGCTGTTGTATAGATGAAAATGCTAATTTCATTGAAGATTTCTTATATTCTTTTCAACATCAAAACCAATATCTTTCATCGAAAACTGAGGCTCTTTTATATGAACACGATACTTCAGATGATAATTTTACTTCGGAAGATTCAAATAGCGACCTAGCAATTGACAGTGAAGAAGCTTCCGTGAACTCGCTTTCTGATGGGTCTCTGGATCCTTCCGAAGATTCCGAGTATTTGCAGGTTTCGTCAGATTTCGACGCTTGTGAATGTTGCGAGTTCCATGCACAAGAGGACTCTGATTTATCTTCTGTCTCTCAACTCCATTGCTGTACTAATGTTTCACCGCCTGCTTTTAAATCTGCGTGTCTCCATGAAATAGACATGTCCCCGGGCAAAACGCACAACGTAAAACAACTTCTAGCCGAACGAACCTCGCCGGAAAAGATGGTCAGTTCTGAAACCACAGAACCTGCAATTGTTAATCGAATCCAGAAGGCTCGAGAGGTCGGAAGGGAAGAACTGGTTATGCGTTCTGAACTCTTCTGTCCTTTTCAACGAGTTGGTCACACAGAAACGCGGGCCTCCCCGTCAGCTCATCCAGAAGCGACTCCTCTTATGACAATTAGAACCAGTCGAGCACTCAAATCCCTAAAGATTATTGATTGGGATCATCTTATACGATACACTCCTAACATATACGTCCCGACGCTTCTGATGATTCCTGTTGAGAAAGAAACTCAACATGATACACTCGACATCTCGCTCCCATTTTTCCCCGAAAACTAACATTCTAACGAAGATAGAAATAAAGTAATCTAACGGCTTAAAGTAACTAATCACATTTTAATGCCATGCTAAGTTAATTTCTTTAAGTTTCGGTTTCTCTCGCTATGAAAGCAAACTTACAAATACTGAAGAAAGACATTAAACAATGTCAAGACTTAAAAAACTCCTTGTCGAACTAGTGTGAACCATAATTATCAGAATTATTTACGGCGCTCGTTTTATTACCAAAGGAATTCCAAATAAGTCAGAGGTTTGGTCTTCTGGTCAGATTTTGGGAAGTAGATGGGGACCGAACATTGTAGAGTGTCACACTGCTAGATAAATGAACGTGTCTATCATGCAGTTAGTTTTAGCATCATCGGGTGTCAGATTAGGTTTAAATTAGCGAAACTATGACTATAGTCCAGGCTCTGGATCGGCTATATACTCTTTTAATGTCGACTGAATAATGAAACCCTGCCTTAAAAATACCGCGTATTTTAATTTTAAATTCAGTCCAACAGTATTGTCATTTTAAAACTGTGCAAATCGTAAAATAGCCAAATGAAATGGTTTCTTGTTTAAATAAGTAATCTTATTGATGTGGGAATTATTAGATTTTTTTTTTCGGGGGGGCACTTTATTTTATAATCCTCTAATCGCATTCCGAAGTTCCAGATTTGAACCTCCACGCAAGCGTTTGACATATTCGAAACGGAAGGAATCCAAAAGTTCACCGTTCGCCATCATCAATGCTTACCGAACTTCTTTTATAAGGTCCATGTTTTAGTGACTAATTTCTAGTTGAAATCCTGACTGCTTTTAGAGCACTATAGCCACTAACTTAATTCTTCATCAAACGCGCTTTCAACGTTCTCCAGCCTGATTGTACTACTTTTTACTCCAGGTTTAAATTCGTGCAGAAGACAAGCTCTCACAGTCAACATTTGTACCGCCATGTTGATTTGTCCGTACGCTCTTCTGAAAGCTACCTGGCGGTAATTATTTTCTTTACCATCGATCAAAATGCTTTCATTCGTTTTTTTGTTATTTTTTTTTTTTTGTATGTGTTTTAACCGATAAAAATTAAGCAAAAATCGGACAAGTTTTTTTTCTTTTTTTTTTTTTAAGTCTTTCTTTTATTATTATTATTATTATTATTTAATCACTTGAGGTATTCATTTTTTTTTTCTTTTATTCCGTAGTAGATACTCCATCACATACTGTTTTAAACGGTATATAGTCTAATTTGGAAAACTTCATTCAGTTTACACACCCTAAAATGTCTTGGATTCATTTTTTACCTTTGTAACATAGAATTTTTAAAGCTTTCTGGAACCTTGCCCGACCTACTAAAATTTAAGTTTTGAAGAGATGTCAAGAAAATTTTTTTTTTTTTTTTACCTAACTACTCCATTAACCTAAAACCAATTACTTTGTGCAGAAAAGGGTTAAGTTTTGTGGGCCACCAGGAGCCTCTTCTTGTCATTTTCAAACGGAGAAAAATGGCGTGGTTTGCACATGTTACAAGACACCACAACCTGTGCAAGACTATCCTGCAATTCACCGTCGAAGATGGACGTAGGAGAGGACGCCAACGCAAAATCTGGTTGGACAATGCCAAACAAGGGATAAGTATAACTACACCAGAACTGCTGATGGCTGCCGTTGATAGAGCGTTGTGGAGGAGATTCAATATGGCTTCTGCATTCGGATCCGCCCTACGATTACAAAAGTCAAGGGGATGAAGATGATCCCATTAATTGGTATTTTAAAATATTTTAATGGCAATACTTTATTTTTTCTTTTCTTTTCAAGACGGCCAACTTTCGTTTAAAAAGCTCAGCTTTGATAAATACCCATATTTTCGAACACTATATGAAGCAAACTATGAAAAAAAAAAAAAAAAAAAAGATTCGGTTTAAGAGAATGAATTTGTAGAGGTCTTTCAATGAGAATTCTTTCCGCAAAAGACAACATTGGTGGTTAGCCGTTCGGAACGAGAAATCTAAGTCAAATTCGTCACCTTCACTTTCACACAAATACTCTTGAGAAATGTATCTCTTCACTCCCTTCCTATGAGTTAAAAATTGAGGCAGGCTTGGCTCTTCAGTCTTGGTTTGCAACCAGTTCAGGAGAACGACAAACCTAAATTCGAAATCGTTTGCGCATGTGGCTACCAACTTCATTCCGTGAAGAAAAAAAAGAAAACAAAAAAAAACCTAATTGTTATGTCAGTTGCAGCAGCAACGCCTGGCATGTTAAGGTTGTCACCCCATTCTTCATACTCGGATTTGTACAAAGCTTTAGAGAGAATAAAGATTATATAATTTGTGTGAATACACGAGAATTCAAGAAACGGATAAATCTACAACTAGCAAGTTAGTTTTATCGAGCCTTACTACCGTAGAGAGTTCCATTTTCACCGAGTTTTCCACGGATGAATCTATGCTGTATAGTTTTCATTCTACAGATTCAAAGACAGAATCTATGTTTGTCAGCAAGACAAAAAGCCCTGGATGCAAGCTAAGAATTAGAGATGTCACCATCAAACAAGTACAGAAGTTTAAGTATCTGAGAAGTGTTTTAACAGATGAGGGGAAAATGCGACGACACCGAAATCCGAAGGTGCAGTAGAATAGCAAAAGATGCATTCTAAAAACTAAGCAAACTTTTTTTCTCATTTCACCCCAAACGAGGCAATGGTGGGTGGAGTAGGTTACTGGGAGTGAAAGAAAATTAGAAGGCTTTAGTGAGGAAAAGGACCATAAATGGACAGGATTCAAGAAAATAGCGACTGATATTGCATTTAAATCTTTGAAGATTGTAGTTGGCAGGGAAGCAAGAAATAGGAAGGAAGTTCTACAGGCGATATGTGCGAGAAAAGAAACTGTAGTGAGTGCGAAATGACTCATTTCACCCACTCCCTTCAAATTTGGAGGACTGAGGAAGAAGATAGAAAATAATTAGCGAGCTCATGTAAATTTGTTGCTAGACCAATGAAAACCTTGCCGTCAGAGAAATTAGCCCGTCATCGAGAAGAAGAAAATAAAGTAGCGAGCCTACGCGAAATTCATTTGAAATACAATGGGGAAAAAACATTAAATTAATTAGAGAAGAGTATCTGAAGTTATGTAAAATGTTTCGTTTCAGTTCCTCGCGAACAGTGTTGAAGTTCTCGCCAGTGTAAAATTACTCACCAATTATATTTTTGGCCTCTAACCAGCTTGAGGCACTTCAAAGTATTTTCTCTCAACAATCCAAGAATACTAAGTATTTCAAGCTATCTCTTTTCATCTACTTTTGAAAGTATGCAAACAATATACCCCTTCGGTGAGCAATGAACTCTCTTACTTTTGTTTTAAACATTTTTTAATATTATATTTTGTAAGATCATTTACTCTGTTGTATAAACATTTCCTCTTCATGACAATACGTTAAACATCAAGAAAAAATTCCTTCATTTTTTTTTTTTTTTAAATTACCTGTGTGCTTTCTCGCCATTATCTTCCTTCATTGATCTTCTTGGCGTGTGTAAATCAAGTGTTCATTCATATATTAGAATAGAACTGACGATTGCATCTAGTAGAACGATGAGTCCTAGTTGCCAATCGCTTAATTGCATGTAGTAGAAATACTGAGGAAAAATAATCATCGGAATAGATGCTATGAAAATATTTGTAGAAAAGACAGAGGGAAGCCCCGTCACGTCGATGAGACAATGACTGAAGTCGAGATGCTAGATCAGAATCGATTACATTACAGACCCTTTTTTAGATTTTGTCAAGAATGGTAGATTTATAAATATGTAAGACGGATTCTGACGAGAAAAAAAAACTTCTGGCACGACACAGTGACCCAATTTTCCTTGCAGTAGATAGAGCTATTAAAACACTAAGAAACAGGAAAATTTCGAAAGCAACAAAGAAAACATTTGGTTTGCTTTGTTTAACGGCATATCAACTCCTTATGGGTCATTTAATGCCGAAATTTTATTCTCTTGTGAGTTTTGGTAATTTATTTTTCAAAAACGTATTGCTGGTAATTTTTTTTTCTAATGTATTTTTATATTTTCATGCTTTGACCTCAGTTTGGGGATTTACTATTTGCTCATAGCTGGGACCCTAACAGGTGCTACCATCCTGGGTCAAGGTTAACCTGTGAACGACACCACTTAAGGGGTGGTTCTACGCTCCTCAAAACCTCCCGAGCGGAAGCCTTGCTGCCGGATGTAGTTTATCGTCATACCCAGGACGAACAAAGGGTGCTGAACAATTCAATTCTCCTATATGACAGTGAATGTTTAGCAAGCTTGTCTCGCTAGATCAATTACGACTGAGTAGTGAGTTCGATCCTCACTAGGTGTTTCATGATTTCGGCCTTGTGGCACATCTAAACTACGCTTAGTAAATCGCTACGACAGTGAATGCTGAACAATTTCTTCTCAGAGGAAGATTTAGTTGATTTCCGTTTTACGGTTTATCAACCTATTGCAGGTCATTTAAAGCTAGAAAATATGTTTTTAGATTATAAGAATTTTTTTTTTTTTTTTTGAGAGGGGAGAATTATATTTCCACTTGGGTTCGTCGTATTCACTTATGCGTAAATACTCTTGAGAAAGGTATGAATCCACCTCTTTCCCCCAGATATGGGTTAATTAGTAAGACTTGTATTGCTAAATCATTATTATCTTCCTGCAAAATTGTTACAATCTAAAAATATTTTCTGTTTTTAAATACCCTGCAAAAGGTTGATAAGCCGTAAAGAAACAATCAATCTAACCTTCACGGCTAAAACCCGCCATGTCGCACACAATACAGTGGACCTCCCGCTTTTCTTTTGTATTCCATTAATGAGATGTAAGTTCCACCCGAGTAGCTTCTTCCCAAAAACCGCTAGATTATGGAACCGATTCCCAAGAGTATGTTTCCCCGATCGCTTCAATCTTCTTCTGTTCTAGTTTAGAGTTAACTGTTAACTTTCTCATATACCCTCATAAACTATTTTCCTTACATCTGACT